GCGGCTGTAATAGATGTAATGTATTTTAAAGAGATTGTTTCCTTTTGCATAAGAATATTTTATATTATAGAATTACCACTGTATATTTTATAATGGCAAAAACTTACTTAAAAGGTAAGTTGATTTACATCTTATCTTGAGTGTTTTTTTTCTCAACTGCATATTAAATACAAGTTAATGAAAGAGAAAAGAAACTATTTAAAGCTTGAATTTTGTTCTGATTAGGTATGGTATAAATATACAGCTATGATCAATCAATACTGTGATCAAAGTATCCGGTCAGAATAAAACATTTACAATATGTGAAGTTACACAAACTGCCCTTTTAACCAACCACTTCCCCCAAACCAGTAGACTTTGTGGTGTGCTTTAAATTGTTTTGTGTACATGTGGGTGTGCTTGCATTTTAATATGTATCAAAAGTGCACAACCTAGTTGTTTTTTTGGTGTTTGCTGCTTTTAGTGACATGGGGTGGGGGACTGGTCAACTGACAATATAGATATATGATTTTATTCATACAAACACATTTTTTTGTTCCAATAGCAGACAGGCAGTTATATATTTACCCACAAAACAGCAGGATTATTTATTCAAATCTGTTTGAAAGCACCCTGCCCCAAACACACAAATTGGTCCCTTATTTATCTGAATTTCTTAATTGATTATAATTAATATTATTTTTGTGGATTTAGTAGATGGATGAATGTTAGCTCTAAGAGGTCTTTAGTTACTCGCTCTCGTTCTTTATCTTTCTTCTTGTATCTCTCTTGATGCCACCATTGCCCCTGCATTCTATCCCTTTAAATTTTCCTTTCACACATAGTATACTGAGTGGAAAGCATTTCTCTACGTTGTGATCAAATTAAGATTAAACACTCTGAACCCTGCTTTTTAAGCTGTTTTTGAACCCGAATATAAAATCTTGTATGACAATAAACCAAATGTCATACCTACTTTTGGCATTGGAATATTATCATGCCCTGACAGCACCAAAATTGATCTTTCAAAAAATTCTGAAAACGACAATCTCCAAAACACCTCCTTGGCAATTAAAACAACTTTTTACGTTACACGATGGAAAAAATCAGAGACATACCCTTCCATCTTATACAACTCTTACATGAACTCCTTGACCAATTTGAAAATTATGCCAGAATGTATACCAATGGATTAAAAGATGAGGAAAAGGCTGCTGCAGCCTTCGTTATTGGAAAACACACAATAAAAGTTTGCTTACCAAATGGTACATCAATTTTTTCAGCTGAAATCAGAGCAATAGACCTTGTTTTGCAATACATTGAAAGGAAGTATATTTTAAACAGCATTATCTTATCCAATTCATTATCAGTACTTTAGTCACTACATTATAGAAAAATGGAAATTCCATTTTTAGCTAGTGTTCTCCTTAAACATGCTGAGCTGAGTATCTTGCACAGTATAGTATGCTGTTGGTTACCCAGCCATATTGGAATTACAGGTACAAGTAATGACAAAGCAGACTGCACCACTGAAATGGCCCTATCACTAGAATAATCTGATTTTAATACACTGTATACGGATTTTAAAAGTTTTATTAAAGACTGGTTATGTCAGAAATAGCAGGCATTATGGAATGATGCTTTGAATAACAAACTTCATGCTATCAAGCCAACCCTAGGAAAATGCAAGAATTCATATCGGCCATACTTATTTAACCCACTTGTACATATTAAAAGGGGGGGCCCCGAGTGGCCAAGTGGTCTAAAGCGATGTCCGTTACGGATCACTGCCATCTCACCTCTATCTTCGTGGGTTCGAGTCTAAGATTCGGCGAATGTGGATATGTGAGAGAGCTTGCCAGTAGCTTCTCGTGGGTCGGTGGTTCTTTCCGGTGATTTCCCGGTTTCTTCCTCCACCATTAATACTGGCCGCCATGTATAGCCTTTCCTGTGCTGAAAAATGGCGTTAAACCCCACAACAACAACAACATACTAAAAGGAAAAGACCCACCAGAGTGCATATCTTGCAATAAATCATTCAATGTTAAGCACTTTATGTTGGAATGTTTCGACCTCTATCCTACATGTAATCATTATTGCAATGTGAATGACATTAGGGAGATTTTTGATACAGTTAGCATTTCTTATATTATAGACTTCCTGAAGGAAGTAAATATTTATCATAAGTTATAGCTTTTATGCTGTCACCTTAAACAATTTTATGTGCTATATATACCGTCACTAGATTTTAATTACCTTTCATCTATTTTTGTTGTCATACATCATTTGCACTCCCCATTGATCAAGAAACTTTATTTATCTATCACTGTTACCATTTTATTGTTTTACCTTCAACTATTTGGTTTCTATCACTGGTCAATATAAAACCTTTTACCATTTTTAAATAAGGAAAATTATAACATTTTGTTTGGCGCTAAATAGCCTCATAGTGCTGGTTCGCCATAAAATGTCAACCAATCAACCAACCATCCAACAGGTTAATGAAGAACTACTGTTGACAGTAAGAGAAATGCTGCATGTTGTTGGGCCAGCCAAGTTTGTATTTTTCTTTACCTTTGTTTGTAAGAGATTTCAGGTTTGTCAGCATGTTGAGTGAAGCATTGCATGGTAACAGTTGGACAGTTAACATTGTGCTTTAATAGGTTGAAGCAGTACAAGCAGACATAAGAGTGAAATAAGATATAAGATCAATGATTCAAAATGTGAAATAGGTAAAGATGTGCAATATAGGTGGTATCCAATATCATATAAAAAACAGTTCTGATTCTTCACATTGAAAGATAATAGTTTTTGCTGTGGGATGTTTCATCCAAGAACTGGTGAGGCTCAGAAGATGAGTTGAAAACAAGGTTATGATGAGATTAATCTACTTGCCATGTATATCAAGGAAGCTCAAGGACAACACAAACCATGATTCAGAGAGAAAGTTAGAGGTACTTGCCTCATTCTTCAAGGACATTTTTATAGCATCTCTGCCATATTTCAGAGAGAGTGAGTTGGAGGTACTTGCCTTAAGTCATCTTTAGAACATAGAGAGTTGCTTTCCTCTTACCTCAAGGCACCTTTAGTACATCAAAACTTTTCTAGAGTAGTGGAACTACTTGCCTCTTACCTCAAGGCACCTTTAGTACATCAAAACTTTTCTAGAGAGTAGTGGAACTACTTGCCTCTTACCTCAAGGCACCTTTAGAACATCAAAACTTTTTTAGAGAGTAGTGGAATTACTTTCTTCTTACCTCAAGGCACCTTTAGAACATTAAAACTTTTTTAAAGAGTAGTGGAATTACTTGCCTCATGCCTCAAGGCATCTTTAGTACATCAGGGCCTTATTTAGGGAGCACTGGAATTACCTGCTTCTTACTGAATGGTACCTTTCGAGCGTAGCAACCCAGCTTGGATTCTCAAGAGAACTGAATTGCCTAAAAATGTATATCTGTCATTTCTGAGCATGGACAATCCAGAAACGTATGAGCAAATACCAGCTAAAATATCTTTTAATAGAGCATTTTTTTGGCATGTGGAGACCAGCAAATTCACTAAAGCTTTTGAACCTTCAGGGACCCCAAGAAATAACATATTTCATGTGACTATCAGGACACAAGTCTAAAGTTATTGTTAGTTTGTGGTTTTTAGCTACTAATAAAGTTTGTTTAGGTTTTCATTATTCCAGTTGGTCCGTCATATTTCAAAAGTTATGTATAAGACAATTGGACTTGTAATGATGTGCTTCCTGCACAACTAAAAACCTGGATCTTTTGCAAAACTCTAGAGCCAATCAACTCTGGCTGGGTTGCATATTAACAAAGGGTTTTGTATTTGTTGCAAACAGCACATCTATATATAGTGTGGCTGAAAGATGAGGCAAGAGCTCTTTTCAGAGTGACATGGACATGTATGTAGTTACCACGAACTGGCGTTAGGCATGTATTTTGTTCAATACCCTGAGTGAGCATGTTATTGAGATCTTTAACAACTATATCTATCGTCAATATGGTTCTTCACCTGGAAGAACATATTATATGGTGTTATGAATATGTAATTAAATTGCTTGTGTGTTACTTTTAAAATTGTGTTTTTAATTTTATTTGTGTTTCATTACATTTTATCTTTATTTTCATGGGATTCTATACTTTTATAAAATACATTCTGTTTGTAGAGAACTGAAATGTATTTCATTAGCATTATTTTTAGCTGACCTTGTGTTGACACATGGTAAACCTGAATTTTAAATGATTGGTCAGTATCAAGGTCATACATACATTACTTTTGAGATCAGCTTGTGTCATCATTTTTTAAATTATTGATCTTAAATAAGATGTTCTGGGCTCATGTGTCAAGTGCTTTTATAAATACCTTCAAGAGATCAGAAGTATTGTTTTGTTGCTGCAAATTTGGTGTTATTTGTTACTTAAGAATAATTTATATTCTCTGGAAAATGCACACCTCATTGTCAAAGCTGTGGAATCAGACATTCAGTGGAAGTTATTCAGAGTGCTAAAGCCAGAATATTCTTTTGTGATTCATAAAATTCAACATGGAACTTTTAACAGTTATTTTGTGATTTTTATAAAATTTAGTGTGGGACTTTTGACATCTTTCAACTGATGTCATTATCTGCCATCATTGATTTTCACCGGATTCAAACTTGGATTCAATTAGGACATTTTTGTGATAGTACTTGTGTGTTTCAATTCTGGGATTAATGTTTGGATTATATTCATAAACTGTAAGTCCTTTTTCATATTTTTACTGGTTTTCTTTGTAGGGAAATAAATTATTTTTATTCAAATTTACAAAGCTTGATGGCTTCACTCTTTTCTTTGTTACTTTGAACAATCTGAGATTTGTAACAGTTTATCACCACAAAATTGAGCATAGTTATTGAATGGATGAAGAGCCATCATTTCAATATATCGGGATTAAATTTGCCATCTTTGTTTCCGTCGATGGCATGTGTCATCAAAATTAACAGTTGTGACATCAACAATATGTTCACCACTGGTGGCTTAAGTGGTTAGAGCATCCGCATTGGATGTGGGAGGTTGTGGGTTCAATAACTATCTGAATCATACCAAAGACTTGTAAAAATGGTACTAGCAGCTGCCTCACTTCGTACTCAGCATTAAGATGCCAGTGTTAGGACTGGTTGGACTTGTGTCAGGAAGATGTGGCTGGGCGGGACATTATGTTACATGTCCGTGATACAATTCCACAGTGCTATTCATTTTTATGAACTGCCACACTGCAGACATCTTGGCAATATGACTTAACATTTTTTAAAGGTACATTAAAAATCCAAATGACACTCATATACATGTGCTAAATAAGATATTCTCTTAGAAATGGCAAAATGAGTTTGTGATCAAGATTAACTTTTTCTATTTTTCATGTCACATGCCAACATTAATAACATCCACATATCTTTGTAGTTTATTGTCCCTTTGGCAGTTATAAAATGCTTGCTTCGATTTTTCACAACATATTTGGTGGAAAGGAACTTGCATAATCAGCTTAATCTGCTTTTTAAATGCTTTCATGTTATGTTTATGCAATTAATGGCAAAAGGTGTGAGAATATTCTATAAAAACCCTGAATTATGTTTTCTAATAAAGGTTTCATGAAGTGGCTTTGTAACAAATGACATCAATGGAATGGTACTTTATATATTGGATTTAAAAACAAAAGACAATTAATTTTGTGAAATTGCAGGCATTTATATCAAGAAGTCAGATTATATAACAATAATGTTTCTTATTATTCTAACTTTTGTACAAAATTTTCATACTTTTTCATTTTTATCATGTTTAATATATTTTCTAGGCTGGACTCAACATACCGACTGATCATTACTGGGTTGTTGTTGCTGTTGGTCTGCCTGCCTTGAGTTTGATTCACATCCTAGGAATTGACAGGTATATAAGAATAGAGCTGTCTTTAGAAATCATGAGCAAGAAATTTAGGCACTCAGTGAACAGTTACAAGTAGGTAAAGGGCTCCATTCTGGGAGAAGCGCCATTGCAACCATATTTAGTGTTGGTATGGTTGGTGATGCTGAAGTACTTTTGTAAGTCATGGAACTATCTAGCAGTCATTTATATCAACAACTGCAGGGCTACATTTGCCCACTTTGCCTCGAGCAAACATCATGTGGGTCACATGATAGAAACATGGTCATTTGTTGACCAGATCAATAATCAGTGAACAGTTATGGCAGCAACAAGATAGTTTCATATAGAAAATTGTCTTGAAAAACTAATGGTCACAATTTTTTTCAATTTCTATTTCATTTTCAAAATGTGAACATTTATTAAAATTATATTTCCATAGCTTGATTTTAAAATGGAAGTTTACTAATTTGTGATTTCAGAGCAATGTATATATAAGTACAATAACTCCAATAAATATGCAGAAGATTTTTGTGTAATTCTATCATAGGTTTACCATATTTGAACTTTGAAAAAAGAGGAGACTTCAGAAAGTGGGTGTATCTCTAGACATCAAAGGACAAAAAAGAAGGATATATGCAGAGAAAAGAGGACATATAACAGGCCTACTCTACAGCTATAGAAAGGTTTTAGAAGAACCTGAAACAGACAAAATTGAAATTGTTTGTGGGGCTACATGTTCACAGTGCCAGGACCTCACGCTTCTAGGCACCATGCTGCCTATATTGTTAATGAATAGTAGGGCTGGTAGGGGCCCCAGTGCTTACAATGTTGTTAAGATGGCATTGCATGTTCACACGAATTATAGTGTCTCCTTGTAGCAAGCATTGAAAAGAATTATTCTGTAGGTTTTTCAGTGCATTTTGTGGCAGAGTTGTCACTGTTCTATCAACTCCACAATTGTACATTTGGTGGGTGTAGTTCTTACAACCAAAAAAATTTAAGTATTTCTTAGAGCCAAAAGATGATCTGGAAATTGGCTAAAATGTTTCAGACCATAATAGATCTCATTTCCTAAAGACAAAAGTACAGGTGAGCATGATCAATATCATTGATCTCCACACATATGGACTGTTTTCTCTCAAATAATGAGTATGGCAGGCCTCAAGAGGTGTCCTCATGTCATGCATTGGCCAGTGACATTCTACCTTCTTGCCAACAGTTTATGTACAAGACTTATTTTTTTAATCTATTTAGCAAGTAAGACTACTTATGGACAGTCATGTTGCAATCTTGTATATTAAAATAATGAGGTTTGCATTGGTTTCAGGAATTCCTGTTTTGTTTAGATACAGGAATGTAGAGCAAAAGATTCTTGGCTCAGTGCTTGTCATCTGGCACATTGTATATGACTGCCACTATTCATCTGCATGATTCTGAGACCTGAATATTATCAGGAAATTGAACATTAATTGGTACATATGAGACTGTCCCACCGACCCCTTTCTTTTGCCCAATACTGAATTGTCAACTGTCTAGATATATTTCATACAAACCAGTCCCTCAAACTTTACTTATTGATGCCATTGCACTATCTTGAAAGTATTTACACTGGACCATGTTTTCTTCTCCCATTTTAGTGTTGTTCTCAGAGGGAGGTGGTAGAACCAGTCTTGAGCTCTGTCATGTTTTCCCTAACTATTGTCTTTTGTGTCTGATCAGTTATATACAACTGTTCAGAACATCTTATGTTCTGTCTAAAACCTCACCATAATGCATTCATTGAATAAACACTGCTTGAAGTCTTTCTGTTGTCAGGTCGGCTATTGAAACCAAACTGATGAAAATCATTTTCTAAATATTTTATGCTGCACTTCGAGCAGTTGAGTTACAGTTGGATATATATCTATTGATTGCAGTTTTGTCATAAACAAAACCTGATCTATCCACTTTGTTAATTTGTATATTTTCTACTTTGCTAATTTGTATATTTTCTTTGGCATCCTTATTTGTAATGCTATCATTAATATCTCTTCTATTAGCAAATTTCTAGTTTTGTTGTTTTCAAATTATTTTCAACACATGCTTCTATCGTGTTAAAGATACCTAAATTATTCTCACTAGTTTGTATACTTTCCTTGAAGTTTCCCTCGTACACATTGATTTTACTTCTGGCCAAAGTTAATTTTTTAGATCTTAGGAATTTACATGCATATAAGAACAATTTTCTTTGTATTTTGTGATCTTAAGCAATCAAATGTAGGTAATCAGTTTTGCAGATTCACTTAGCTTATGCATCAGACAGATGTCTCTGTACATTCAATCTTGTTGATAGGACAAATAGTATTAAAAATAATGAAACCAAACTGTTTGTTAGTTTCCATTTCAGGCATTGCACAGGCACCATTTCAGGTAGGCTAAAATCCACCATGCAAGCTGCTGCTGTCAATACTGATATCTTGCACTTCATAATGGCATTGGGGGCTCCAAGTGGCCAAGTGGTCTAAAGTGCTCACAGATAGGGATCACTGCCATCTCACCCCAGTCTGCATTGGATTGAGTCTTGGATTTGGCCAATGTGGTTATGTTAGAAAGCTTTCCAGTAGCTTTTTGTGGGTCACTGGTTATTTCATGTGTTCATCCTCGTTCTTCCTCCACCATTTACACTGGCTGCTATGTATAGCCTATCTTGTGCTGAAAATGGCATTAAGCCCTACAACAAGAACAACAACATAATTGCATTCACTATTGTAACTCATTCAGACAAGGTACCTCTGTCTACAACATTCCAAACAGCTAGCTGGAGCAAACACTATTTTCCTGAAATATTATCAGAAACCTATCATCATAATTTTCATGCAGTGTAAACCCATTGAGATCAGTTCCACCCCATTATTGCATTTAAATCATAGATTCTCATGCAAAGTGCTCTGCCACTTTTACCCTACTGTATGATTGTCCCAGGATAAATTCTAAATACCTTGTGGGGTCAGTGAGGGTACAAAGGGTTCTTTGAAATTAAATAATACTTACCAAGGTGTGAAGTTGATGATAATTTCATTGTACCTGTTGTTCCCTTATAGATCACATGACCACCTACCTTTTCCTGGGTCTCATCTTGTATCCTGTGACCTCTTTAACCAGTGTATCCCCCAGGGTGTACAATTAAGGGTCAAAAAATCCCTTTGGTGTCAGAACTGGGTGTCAAAAAAAAAATTATGTAGGTCAAGTATGTATTGACAAATTTTCATCTGATCTATACCTTTTCAGCTGAAATCAGATATTGCAACCTGGACATCCATCTCTCTCTCTCTCTCTCTCTCTCTCTCTCTCTCTCTCATACAAATAAACCAACATGCACAATTAACACACAAATGCATTGTCCATTCAGAGGATAATTTTATTAGTTCATTTTCCTTTGAGTTTAAAGTCATACTTTTAACAGTCTCTTTATAATCTTTTTGTAGCAATGTTATAGACCAACACATTACGTATAAGCCAATACAAAAATCCATATAAATCTTTTTAATCAAATGACAGTTAATTTACTGCCTGTCATAAAATGTGTACTAGCATCGGTTTCATTGTACTTCGTTCTAAAACACATTTATCCAAAAATCAAAGATGCTAATGATTCATCTTCTCTTTAACAAGATACAATTAAACTTTTAGATTTTTCTTTCGTTGCAGAAAAGTTAACAAATTCTGCAACGACCCAGCTGAATTTGCAATCAAAAAATGGATTTGTCTCTGCAAGTTTACTTATTTCTTTATTCTGAAAGAATGTCTTAGGCAATAATGTGTTCAAAAGATATTAAATGGTGATCAAAGGCAGATTTTTAAAAATTCTTAAATGCTGTCACAAAAGGATTATTCACTTGTGCAGTGTTCGAAATCACAAGATCAGAAGTCACACCGGTAATCTCAATGGAGATTTACTCTTTTGTGTTCTGCTTCTTTCACTTTCTTCACTAATGATTTTAGTGACAGCCATTTTAATCTCAAGATCACATTTTATTGCAATAAGCATTGAGGTTAAATATCTCTATGACATCTTGTTGAGCTTGTTAGAATGGTGTGAGAGCTCATGAGATTAGAGAAAGTAACTCTGTCATAATATTGCCTCTTGTAGTCTGGTTGTCTGTTTCATATGCTCAATATAGCAGAGTGCAAGGCAGGGAGAA